TTTTCTACCATGTTAATTGAAACATTTCTGATATATGTTCTTGGTAAAATAAAGATCAGGGATTTAGATCAGTGGGTTTAGTTCTGGCCAAACTCTAACAAATCATTTGCTTTACCTGAACCTAAGTGTCTTGGGGCTAATAACATTTCTCAAAAGTGCTGAATAAGTCAGTCAAATGATAATCACTAATTTAAAAAAAAATTAACATATTTTCTAAAAGATTTATTTATTTTAGAGAGAGAGAGTGCATGTGTGAGCAGGGGTAGGGGTAGGAGGAGAAAGACAAAATCCTGAAGCAGACTCCCCGCTGAGCACAGAGGGGCTTGATCCCAGGACCCTGAGATCATGACCTGAGCCGAAATCAAAAGTCAGCAGCTTAACCCACTGAGCCACCCAGGTGACCCAATAATTACTATTAAAAAAAAGAGAGAGAGAGAGAGAGAGTAGGCACTAGGCTTGATGCTTTACTATTGTAATTCATTTAACCCTCATAATTCCCAAGGAAATGGTTCTTCAGATTTCACTTTTCTGATGAGAAATGAAAGCATAAAGAGGCAACTAATCAGCCTCAGCTCACACAGGTGGTGGGTGTGGGAGCCACAAATTAAACCCAAGCCTGTGTTATTTCAAAGACCATGCTCTTTTCACTACGCTGCCTTACCTACCTAAAGGATAGGACTGCATTTTGTAAATTAAGGACTTTATTAAATGTTATTACAGTTGAATACAAGGATTAGTGATTAAAATTATTTATCACCTAATGTAATCAACAAACCCTTTGCTTCATCTTCATGCTCATATTTCATCCATTTGAGCATGCTGTGATAATACATTGTAACAATTTCTTCTTTCCACTTTCTATCCTGGTTGACATGTAACGGAAAGCTCAGGAAGAAATCTGTGACAGATATTTCCTTTCCCTTTTGGGCCCATAGTCAGTCTATATTCCCCAGCCTCCAGTTCAGTTACAGTGGGCAATGTATTTAAAGTTCCAGATGATGAGCTTTGGGCAGAAGTAATGCACAGAGCTTCCAGGGCTGGCCCACAACACCTTCCATTTTTCTTTCTTCCCTTACCAGCTGTTCCAATGCCAGAAATCCAGAGAGGATTCCAAAGCCCTTGGGGAGGGTGGAACCACCAGACAAAAGGAATTATGTCCTTAAATAACTACATGAAATAGAGCTCCTACTCTCCCCAACCATGCCATCCACACTGCGCCAGAACTTGAGCAATAAACCTTTGCTGTATGAAGCCACTCGGATCTGGGAGTAATTCGTTAGTTAGTCTGCCCAGACTCATACAAGAATATACCTAAGAAATGGTTTCTTAAACCGAATGTGTGGCCCATTTAGCTCAGGCACCTGCCTCGCCTTTGCACAGGGGTGCGTTACATAAGAATAATGTAGTAATAACAGCAGCAGCTACCATTCTATAAAGTACTTGCTATGTGCTCAGCTTATATTTAGGTGGTAAATACAAGCCACTAACCTCAGCTTTACATGTATTATTTCATTAAATCCTCACCCTATCATGTAGGCACTATTCATTATTTTCACTTTCCAAGAAAAAGAAGATTCTAATTTAGTTTAGGTAACTTGCTCAAACTCTAATACAATTCATTCCGACTCCCAAACTGCAAGCCTATATGCGTTGTACAGGAAGGTTCTGTTGGCCTGGATTCCTTAAAGTCTAACCACAATGTATCATTATAAGTTTACCTCAACATCTAAGCAATGTCTCAATTGTCTCAATTTGGACCACCAACATTTGGACCATTCCAACATTTACTAATTTCTTTATGTCTTCAAGTTTCTTGGAGCTATAAGAAGTGACCCCTCATTCTCCGCAATTCATTGGTTTTCTTGATGCAAAACTTCCAAAATGTAACTAATAATACAGGTTTCAAAATTCCATTTTTAAAATGCCTTCATAAAAATACTTTGGTTGGCTTCAAAGTGCTTTTCTAATAACTCCCATGATTTCCTTTTTGGTCATGAAAGAATGTTGAGTCGATTTTGACCAACAACAACAACAAAAATCATCTGCAAGATGTCCATTAGTTCAGAAATCAAGTTCTAATTATTCTCCATAAGGAGAGCCTAACACTTGTCTGTATCAAAATTATTGACCATATTCTGCTCACTCTCAGAGCCTGCAGTTTTTTTCTTCTCTCGGATTTTACTGGCCAGAAAAGACTGTATCATATATAAATTTGAACATTTCACTCTGCCTTCTTTATGCTAGTACTCAATAAAACAACATCACCATCACTAATCTATAATGGACATTAGTGGTAGTGCTTTACCTATGTGGTAAAATAACTGCTTATCCTCAATCATTTCTTTCTTTTTTAAAGCCAGTCATCAACCACTGACAAAATAGCTTCTCCAACACGTGTAGAAGATTTTGTGCCAGCACAAAACCAGAGGAATGATGGGGAGAAAGAAAGAGAGTTGGGGAATATTTTGGTATTACCATTGAAATGGGTCATGAGAAAACTGCAGAACTTTAGATGTTTATCTCATGTAATTTAAGGCTTCTATAAATTGGTTTGTTCATAATGAAAAACACTGTTAGTAATAAGATTTATACTTGCTCTTAGGCAATTACTTATTTTTTTTTTTTTGGCCATAGGATAGCTTACAATTCTTATGGTCAGTAAAAAAAAGTTTATCTTAGACTCTTCTACCTTAATTTTACCACTCTGTACATTTATCCTTTCTAGCTCTTCAATATGAATGTTAGAAATATAAATGACAGGGGTGTCTGGGTGGCTCAGTCGGTTGAGTGTCTGACTCTTGGTTTCAACTCAGGTCATGATCTCAGGGTCATGAGATCGAGTCCTCTGTCAGACTGAGCGTGGAGCCTGCTTGAGATTCTCTCTCTCCCCTCCCCCTACTTGCACTATCTCTAAAATAAATAAATAAAATCTTTTTTAAAAAGAAACATAAATGACATCTGATAAAAAGTAAAAACTGGACTACCAAATCAATTAAATTAGTGACCTCTAAGTAAGTTCCCCAAATCAAGATTTAGCCTCTGAAGGAGCCATTCTCCAGGAATAATTGTTAAGCCTTTTCACCTACGTGGTCCCCACAGAGCACAGAGTCCATTTTTCCCCGATTGTAGGTAAAGGCTGGGAGGAAAGTCTCATTACTTTCCCTCCTACTTTCCTTCCCACCCCATGCTCCATAAGCTTCTCTATCCACAGAGAAGAGCAAAATCATCATGCAAAAAGGACAGGGCCAATTTTAGACTCTTCCCTTAATTTTCTGAAGATCTTCTATGAGGAGATTCTAGATTGTCCTAGAAAATAAGAGTTCTGTTTTACGCATCATTTCACTCAATTCCATCCTCAACAGAGACAGCAGGATAACCTATCTGACATGTAAGTTGCAGGTTTAAAACTCAAATGCTTTTCCCCTTCCCCTTCAGAATAAAGTCCCAGCATTTTCACATAGCTACCATGCTCTTCTGCAGTCTACTCCCGGCCTACCACTCCAGTCTTCCCACCGCAGATTCTGCATCAACAATACAGAACTAACAAGAGATGGTCTGTCCCTTCCAGGCCTTGGTTTATAGGTCGTTCACCCTCCACGGTGCCTAACTCCTCACAGTCAGACAACGCAACGTCACCTCCCCAGGAATCCCTCCCTGAAACTAAACTCCCCCACCCTGCTGCATGTGCCTACACTTTCTCTCCCTTGGGCGTTGTAATAACCTGGGCTTAACACCATCACCGCCTTTGCCATGTTACATTTTAATTATTTGTGTATGGATCTGTCTTCAACACTGCACCGTGATCTGGAGGGCAGAGACTTTGTCTTCTATTTTTAAATCTCAATGTCTTAGCAGATGTTCTAGCACATAGCAATTGGTATTTCGCAAATGAAAAAAACTAAATGAATTCACAGTAAGCTCATCTGAACCATCCAAATTCAAGTTCTGGCTCAACTCCACTAATAGGCATGTCTGTGGATGCTGCTGCCTTGAATCTGGTCTCACAGCTTTCCTTTTCACTAAGCGCCTCTTTTAACCTGTGGGGGGTTGTGTTTGGTTTTGGTTTTTAATTGTCTATTATTCTGCTTCTTTGAGGTTTTGTTTTTGGGTGGGTCAGGTTTTTGTTTTTTGTGGGGTTTTTTTGTTTTTGTTTTTGTTTTTGTTTGTATTTTGTTCTTGTACCTTATCAAACATTGTCCAGGGTTTTTTTCTCATTTTTTCCCTAAGTTCTCATATAGTATTATGTGGTTAGTTGATAATGGAGTAGAGTGGCTGGCAAAAATTATACCACAACTTAGGTTTTTTTAAAAACAGTTGTCCTTAAATAGTTGTCAATGATATGATGTTTTGATAACTGTGATTTAACCAACTTAAAATTATTTCAAAGCATGTGCATCCACACCCATTTTGACTGCCTATAGATTGAAAATCAGTATCAGTTTACAAATTAGCTTTATTGATTATTGGTTTCAGACTGTTAGTCCATGGGTGTTTCAAATTTCTGCATTCTTAAAGCTGAGGGTTTCATCAACTTCCCCTCCTCAACCTCAAATTTTCATAACAAATTTTGCTGCAATTAAGGCATAAAGACAAATACACCTAAGGGCAGAACATTTTGATTGTTTATAATGCAGTGGAGTAAAAAGGTACTTGATTTGGTGATTAAATTAAAGCCAAATATGGCTTCTTATGAAAATTTTTATCATCTAAAATTTTTCACCTCCCAAAGTGCAATACAAAAGCCATGCATATATTACTCTACAAGGCATACAAAACATACAAATAAAACAGGAAAAAACTTGCATTGCACATATACAGTATGTATATATACTATACAAAGAAATTGACGGTAGTGACTTAAAGAAACAAGGCTTCAATTACATCTTAATGCTGGTACACTAGCAATATGCAAAAATTGAAGTAAGACATGATAATACCAAATTATATTTCTATGGTATAACTTAAATAATATAATAAAATGCACAACACTAAGAAGTTACCAATATCTCTCTTTGAGTGGAAGAAATATAGGCCTTTTTTCTTCTTCTTGATTTTATGGATTTTCCAGTTTTCCAAAATAAAGATCTGTTCAAAAAGAAAAAAATTACTTCTCAAAAAAATAAATAAGGACAGTATCTTTACCTTTCTATAGTTCACACCTCTAACTATAATCTCTACTGATTTGCAGCTTTGAAAGCATTTTCACATTTAACATGTCATTTGATCCTCTCAAGAAAACAGAATCCTACAAATGAGAAAAGTTACCCTCAGAAATTAAGTGAAATGTCTTAAGATTGCCCAGCTACTAAGTGGCACGGACACTTTTTTTTTTTAATTTTATTTATTTTTGAGAGAGAGTGTGTGTGCAAGCACATGAGCAGGGGGAGAGAGAATGTCAAGCAGGCTCCACACTCAGCTCAGCACAGAGCCCAAGATGGGGCTCCATCTCATGACCCCAAGACCGTGACCTGAGCCGAAACCAAGAGTCAGATGCTTAACCAACAGAGCCACCCAGGCGCCCCCGAGTGGCAACGACACTTTTTAAACAAATTCTGGTTATATTTTGAGTACTGACTGTTTTGTTGAAAAGGGCAATGACTTGTGAAGAAGGTACAGGAGGAAGAAAGAGAACAGGAGGGTTATCAGGAAGAAAACCAAGGACTAACATTCACTGAGTGTGAATTACATGCCCCACTGAGTTAAAAGGGCTGCATGGAGAACGGCCTTTAATCTTTTATGACGTACTTAATATCACCATCTCCATTCTACAAATGGGGAGACTGAAACACAGAGAGGCCAAGTCAGTCAGTCAAAGTCACGGAAAGGTAAGTGGCAGAGCCAGGATTCAAACCCACGCGTTCTGACACATTCTGGGTCGGCACCTTCTGACTCAAGCGCTGCTCTAGCCTGTCGCAGGCATAAGCATAAAAGTCACCAACAGAGCTAACCCATCAAGTTTCCGGTTTCCTTGAGCGACCTGAGTGATTAGGAGTGAATCCATTTTCCATCAGGTCAGCAAACTACACTCTTTTAAAACTCATCATTTTTAAAAAATATTAGTTTTAGTTGCTTTTTAACAGGCGACGGGAAAGCAAAGGATTCAATAGCAAAATGTATCAGTGCTTTAACAACGCTTTTTAAACCATGACTTTAGGGGAGAAAAAACTGATTTTATTGCATGAAAATACAAATCAGCTGGTTATATTAATCATGAACCAGATTCAACAGCAGAATCAACAATAACAGAATAACTACCGGACTTTGAGGTTACAACATAGGAACCCCTTCAACCCTTCCCATTTACCCATACAGCTAACATCCTGGCTTTGGTTTTCTTCTCTGTGACAGATGTAGCTGTCACCATTTTAAACGGGAGAGCAGGGAAATGTATAGATCTATACGTCTCCGTGTGTGTGTGTGTGTGTGTGTGTAACAAAGATACATTGACAGAAAGAGAGGGACTTTTTAGGAGTCTTATCTTCTCATACCAAACCCACAAATGGAGTAGATTTTGCTGAAAATAGATTTTCTGACCCATGGTACCCATTGAGTCAAAAAAAGAATTTTTTTTTTAAACTTCAAGTTCTGTAAAATTAGATTTGAATTTAACCATTTAGCCATTCCACATAATGTTTCTGGGTTCCTACTGGGTATAAGCCAAGTGAATATAAATCAGTATCTATTGCAATCATACTTGACCACAGCACACCCAGTAAGAACAAGCACAAGAACAGTGCAACTAGATTCTAATGCAAACAGTAAGCCTCAGGTTTATTTTATTTTCTTTAGACTTTCTATGTGGAATTTAGTGAATCAATTATTAAATATTAGTGTCACTCATGGAGTTAGATAACCTACTAGCTTCACCATTCCAAGTGTTACCTATTCTCTTCCTTTGTCTGCCCTGATTTTTCACAGATAGAGACACAAGATAAATGGCCTGGCTAGGTTTTAAATTCTTTACCTTTAGGCATTTTCTTTGCTGTTCTTTTTCTTTTTTTTTTTAATCCTTGCAAATTTAGACACCACAGAAAACTGTTATTTGCCTCATAATGGCCTCTTCAGCGTGTTTCACAGTCTTTTGTGGAGAATAATGACATAATGATAGTGTTCTCAGACCTATATTTTCTACTTGATAAGCTAGCAATTATATGATTAAAGCATTTTTAGAAACTCACATTAAGTATATGATACCCTAGAAACCAGTCCATCATGTAATTATAGTCAGGAGAGAAATAATTTACATAACTAAAAACCATCTGAAACACTATTCATGACCAGTATGTGATTTTTTCCAGCAGATTAAATATTGTAAAAATATTAACTTATAATATGCTTTTAATGTTAGGATTATAAATTCTGAATTTTATAAATTGTGTTTAAACTTTCACTTTCCGTCCTTCGTGAAAGGAAGCTATTCCAAACTTTGCTGAAAACATGTGCTAATGTGCTGGATACATTAGGACCAACACAGAAAAACCTTAGGATTTCTCTTCATGGAACACATACTTACAGAGAACAGAGAAAGGCAGGCATTTGCTAGGTATTCAAGCTCTGTGAGGAACATCAATTTTGCCCAGGACTTTTCTTACATCTATCTTGAAGGCACATTTGACTAGATCTTTCTGATTTTTTTTTTTTTTGAATGTCAGATCATTACACCTACATTGTGATGAATTAGAGGAGATACAAATTCATCCATTATTGTTTTCTTTAGAAAATAGGAAAGATATTTAATGGGTACCCAAGAGACTCAAACACCACCTACTAGGAGGACCCAACCTTAAAACAGAATGCCTGTTTTCACTTTTTTGCTCAATTTCTGGAAGAACCAGTTACCTCACTTTTCCCGAGTTCATTGAGAAAGACTACAAAAAATTACAGAAGTATATCCTGAAACCTAACCCTTCAAAGGAATAGTTTCGTACACAGAATCACAGGAGTATTGCCAAAAAAGTAAGCCTAAGTTATTAAGTAAAAATAAGGGTGCCAAACCATGTGTATTATGGTAAGATACTCTTGTGCTTAAGAACAACAATATATATTATTATTACCGCTGTAAATATGCACAAAAAACCCGTGGCAGGGTTACCTTGTTCGTGTCCACGGCAGAAAAAGATGTGTGTGAATTAAGGATGTAGGTGGGAACATAGGAACGATGGACAACATAGGAACCCCTTCAACCCTTCCCATTTACCGATACAGCTAACATCCTGGCTTTGGCTTTCTTCTCTCTCAGAGCTGTAGCTGTGAGAAGCCAAGAATGACTTTTCATGTGTTTTTGTATACCTTCTGATTTTTTAATCATTTGAATGTACTGAGTACTAAAAAAAATATCAGTCTTTAAAAAAAAAAAGAATGAAAGGAGTCTTCTTGATCCCTGTGTGGATTAGGTAAGAAATGTAGACCAAGGGTATTCTCAGCTATGATGCCAACTGAGCTTTAACAGCAAAAAGGTAGCAAAATATCTAGATGCCTCTTGTTACTGGCTTATTTCACCACCACTACCAGCCCTCAGTGACACTGGCTTCTATGTTTCCTAACTCAAAAGAAGTTAGAAAACACACCACATTCTGTTTGATTTTATTTATTTATTTGAGAGAGGGAGCATGAGAGAACACAAGCAGGGGGAGCAGCAGAGGGAGAGGGAGAAGCAGGCTCCCCACTGAGCAGGGAGCCCGACACGGGGCTCGATCCCAGGACCCTGGGATCATGACCTGAGCCAAAGGCAGACACTTAACAGACGGAGCCACCCAGGCGCCCCCACATTTTATGTTAATAATGATAGCAACATGGCAGAATCAGACCACCACAAGGCATTTGGGTGTCCATGCTTGAGGATCAGCAAAATCATAAATACTGCTGACAGTTTCTGAGAGACAGGATGAGGAAACCAGCCACGGTCAATAACTAATCGCCACCATCCTAGATAAAGCTTAACCTTGACCCTCAGCAGGGTAATAGGGATATCCATTCTCAAAAACTCTGCTACCTAAAGCACTACAAAGGGCTGGTAGTAAAAACAAAGACGGCAATGAAGTACATATACTGTTAACACATTGCTGATCTGACCAAACGTATGTGCAGTTATCTGGTTTTTCCAGATCTGCACTTCCTGAGACATTCACTTTGCAACTGAGAAATCATCAACTCTAATGTTAGGAAACGAGAAAAAAGAATTGTTAATTTGTGTAAAGAATAAAAATGATGGAGATACCACCTGACACTGGCATAAGGCTTCACAGAACTCTCCCTCACAGAACCTCGTGGCCCTATCATAACTCTGGGAATCCGGTAGGCGGGGGATCATGAACTGTACAGCGGGGGAAGGGCCGGTTTCAAGGCTGGTATGTGGCAGGCCTAGGACTCCATGCCAGGTTTTCTGAGCTTGTGTTCACTGCTCTGACACACCTCGTGTCTTCTTAGACTCTGAGTTTTCTCCTTCCCCACACAGCAAAGGCTTTCCACAGTTGTGGAAAGTAAGATATATAATAAAGTTTACTCTTCGGCTAAGGAAGGAGTCCAACAACATGCTTTTATTTTATTTTATTTGCTTTTTTTCTTGGTCTCTCCTGAAATTTCTTTATAAAGGTCAAAACTGTTAAAAAGGAACTGCACTATTTTGCAAAATGAAACACACATTGATTGCAACATTTGAGCCTTCAGCTCAGAACTTAAGAACACTGTGTCCTGTCATTTTGATTTTAGATAACCAACTGTAACTACCAATACAACTCCTGGCTGACCTTGTCAATTTACATCTAGGGATGCTTGAATGAAAGAATATTGAATTGTTTCTTTATTCTATTTCTGCCTACTCGTAAAATTCCCATCTTCCCAGCCACCATGGGAGGCAATATGGTAACATATCCATATAATACACTATAGAAAAGAATCAAAACTTGATGGGAAATCTAAATCATATTATAGTTTGGGCTATTCAAATAAGAAAAAAAAATACAACCTTGAAGAAGTCTCTTCTGAGTTTATCTGGCCTGCACTGTGGTATATGCTGATAAAATTTCACTGCACCCTCTAAGGCCTTCAAAGTAAAATCTTTGGAGGTCTTAAGGTCAGGCAGGCTA